ATTAAACCTAAAATGTGTTACTGCTGTTATTGTTATTATTATTTATAGGATGCTTTTAGATTGTTTCATTCTTTGAACATTATATTGTTTATATATTTTATATTTTTTATATTTGAAAGTAATTTTGAATCTTCTAAAATCATTTGGGTTGCGTTTCAAATTTTAGTCAGTCCCTTAACAAAGCAATAATGACAAAAACAACATCTGGCAATGGCCAAACAAAGTAAGTCCTCTCATTCCTTTTTTATGCAACATCATCATGGACACAAACACTTAAATTCAGCTTAGAAAACCAGGTCACTGTCTCCTGTCTGGGGATAACATCCTGGTAGCCTTTCTGGATGGCTGAATGTACATTCATGCATGAGCCGTTTCTTTACTGATGCCAATAGAAAATATAAACATGTTTGTTTCTATAAATTAACTCTAAAATAAAAAAGAATTGAAGTAAAATGTTTTGTCATTAAACCTTTTTGTTGTTTTGCTATGTTCTGATCGACTGAGAACCATCACCAACGTATTGATGCCAGTTTGAAGCTTCATTAAGCATTTTAATCTGCACTGTTAAAAACTGCACCTAGGAAAACATCTGAGAACCGACTCAGGGCTAAATCAAACTGCTATCTTGGAGCACTCCTAAGTCATGATGGAGGCTACCAGTGAGCTTTGTTTGATTTGCAAAATGATCACACATTTTCCAAAGTTCTAGCGATGACAGCTCAGGCCAGGGGGATTTTATCTTCCCAAGGTTTTTCTGTCCTCTCATCCAATTTTTTGATATCTCAGACGAGCCCTGAAGGTTGTTGAAATTCTTTTCTTCCTTTGCCCTTAATTTGGTTTGGTACAGTAGATTAAAGAACATGTGTTTAGTTAGTGCATTCATGGGTGGACAGAACAAGAAAATTCACCCCCCTGGCAGAATATTTAATTATTTCTATTCTATTAGTTTATGTTTTGTTTAAATTTAATAAAACTCAAATGTTGAAAATAATTGCCACTCACTCCACACTTAATACTTTATAGAAAAAAAATAAACGGAATCACTGTAACTATACAGTCATTTGTTTACATTACTGTTTTTCATTATAATGCTTTTTTTTTTAAATCTCTGCTGCTTAAAGGCTGCACTTTAAAAAATGAAATAGACTAGGGAGCTGTTCTAAACGGAATTTTGTTTTGTTTACACTTGTGTATACAAAATGACAAAATAAAATCTGTCAAGTCAAGTCAAAAAAGAAAAACTTTTTAAAACCACTTTAACTGGTGTTCTGGAAATTTAGATTGAGATCTTAATTTGGGAATACCACAAGAAATGTATTTATTTTTTCTATTAAAAGATTACTTTAAACCAAAATCTGTTAATAGTATGACAATTATGTAGGCCAAATAGTTTATGAGAAATATTACTTAAAAAGATACATTTGATTCTTATAAATAAATCACAATAATGTCTTCAGCAAACCATAATTATAAATGATACTCATTAAACTTGTTGAACAAGAGAAAGATTGCTACATTTGTTAATTTTCGGCTTTGGCAAATGTTTTGTGCGAACATTTATAATTTTAGCTTGTATTTTTGGATTAGATATGTTTTTAATTAACTGGCTACTACCTTAGAAGAAAAAAAATATCAAAACTAATTTAAGTTCAGTTAATTGAAATTCAAGTAAAAAACAAAAATGAACATTTATCTGGAATATAAATAAAATAAATCATAGCACTGTCAGAAAGTAATGACAGGTATTATCAATAAAGAGCTAGTTTATTTAAATTTAATATAATTTTACAACATCATGTGGAAGAGGTATTACCATGCAAATTAAAAATCAGCACTACTAATGTAATATATATATATATATATATATATATATTGTTATTTGAAAAGAAGGTAGCTGTATTGTACTTTAATGAAGTTATTACTAAACTATATTTAAACGGTGTTCCCTTTCGTCTTGAAACAGATATCTCTTTTCTCAAAGGAAATTCCTGATTCAAAGGTCAAAGATAAAAATAAATGTTTTTTATTTTCTATTTTTTTTTTAAGGTTGTTTACACCGATGAGCCTCTTATAAAGCCATTGCATCAGTTACAGTTGATATAAATGATTGTTCTCTTTAAATCATGCTTTATCCTCTTTAAATATTAATTGTACTTAAAATATTTTTGTGTGTCTGGCAACAAAAACCCTGGATGTATTTTTATAATAAATGGTTCCTGTTTTTTAATTTTTTTATTACAGTTTTCTATACATCACACTGTAATCTTATTCAATCCCTCCTTTCCTCTGCAGTTTTAAATATTTATCCCGAGAGCTCAGACTCTTATCGGTTTATTCTGATTCTCTGACATGCTGAGCTCTGAGTGGTTCTGGGGTTAGACGATAGGTTGGTGGGGGCTTGCTGGTGGTCAAAAGGTAGCTGCTTTGGGGTACCTCTGGGTGCCCCCTCCCCATTGAACTCTTGAACCTTCTCCTCTCCTGCTCATGGGGTAAACCTCTTAATGCACGCGCCAGTCTCTGCCAGGTCAGGCCAAGGTCTGTAGCCTTTCACGCTTTTGCTGCTAATGAGGTTTCAAAATCTCCAGCAGGGTAAAGGGAGTCTGACCTCGACTGGAGAACCTGACGCTGGGAGAGACGGCGATACCCATGGCTAAATCGCTTCTGACATAAAACCATAGAACAATGTGCAGTAGTCTAGATCTGAGGAAAAAACACAGAGAGAAGGAACAGTACTCAAATGTTTAATTTGACCTCAAAAATTATCTTGGGATTTAAAGCTGTCTTTAGGTAAGTAATTCCTGAAAGTATTCAATCTGACATTTGCGGACATGAAAGAATTCACACATTTTTAGCCAAGTTCTTATGGATGTATATTTAAAAGGAACATTTTAATGTTTAAACTGCAGGAATCTGGATTATTTTCCCAAGAACTTTTCTTTTTGTAAATCCACATGAGATCTAAACAAAAAAGAGGTAAAAACATAACCAAATAGTGTTATTCACTATAAGGACACACCTGTATAATTATTTAGGTATGACATTGTTTATGAATTTGTATTTTTCTTTTGGGAACAAAATCTAAGCAACTGTCCTTGAAGAAGTTTTCGTCTGTTTATCTTTACTACTACATCAAATGTTGATTTAATATTTTTTGTACAACTAAATGGCATTTTTTTCCCCCTTAGGAATATGCATTTTTATTTACAAGGCTCTTTATGTTATTTATGTTACAAATGGAAACCATACTTTTGTTGCCAAATCTGTACAAGTTCAGATGATTTCATAATAAAGGCCCGTACATCTCACCTCATCATTTCACATAAAGCCATTCTACAATGAAAATTTAAAGAAGTGCAAAAATGAAATAAATAAATGATCTTTTAAATGTCAGCAAGCAGAGGCAGACTTGGTCGAACATTTACAAAATATTTTTAGGTGTCTTTAAATACTGTTGGAATTATCATATATTTTATTTAAATGTTTTTAGTAAAAGTTGTATTTACTGCAATCTCATTTTTCATGCTTGTTAAATCCTATCATTGCTTTCAAATAGCCTTACTCAGAGTTCATTCTTTTTATTTCTATTGATTTACTTTTTTGTGTACTTACTTATAATTAATAATAAATACATTTTCCAAACCATTATTTCATTCTTTTGATTGAATTCATAGTTTTCTGTACAAGCTTTATTTTTAGAATAGTTTTAACATTTAATTCATTGCCCAATACATTAGGTATATTTCTCAATAGTTAACTGTTCTTTTATTTTGAAAATAAGCTGTTTTTTCAATTTCAAAATCTACTTTTATTGCATATTATGGCTTTTATGATGCTATATTTATAATGTCTTTTTTATGCAATAACATAAAACAGCTTCTGGCTGATATTCTTTATTATAAATTTAAGCACCAAGGGGAGACTTTGGCTGCATGAGGATGAGTCATTTAATAGCTGTAGCTTTATATTGACATGATTAATTGCATATCGTACATTATGCATAAAAGGACAGACCGGATATTGAGTATTTAATTATGAGTGATAGATTCTGTTTAAGTTTAGTATTTACAGACAGATAATAAAACAGGTATATAAACAGTAGTAAGATATTACGAAACATTATAACAATAAATATTTATTGATAGTCCAGATACGTGTATGTTTGTGATATTACATGATAATGGATGAATCTAATTGGCATTGGGTTCAAACAGCTCTTGCTTTTTTTAATAATATATTTCAGAAAACAAAAACCTTTTTTAATGTGTCCTGTGGATTTGAAAGAATACAGTTTTCATAATTAGAAAATGAATCCTTCTCCCATGTAAATCACATCAATAAAAAAATGAAATATAGATAATGTGAGTATTTAGCATTCACTGACCTAATATGAAAAAAACCCCGTCACAAAATGTTACACAGTCTAGTTTGAATCAGATAGAGAAAAGACTGCTTTAGTTTATCGGTAGTTTTACATGATTACCATATTTTAGAAAATGTAAGTAAAAATTGCTAAGACAGTTAAATGTTTCTGTTAACTATAATCTTATTTTTTAAATCCTGAAAAAAAAAATTATTTGGAACTCTACTACGGTATTTAATTGAGGTGAACTAATGATTTGAAACATAAAAATATCACATTTTAAATGTTATTTAATTTACCTTTCAAAATTAAAACCATATTTTTTTTATTAAAAGATACTTAAATTAGAACAGTCAATAAAGAAACCTTTCATCTTATTTATTTGCTGATTTTTACCATAACATTAGACATGTATAGAAATTAATTATAATTAATGACTTGAATTTTTTATATCAATTTTACACTATTTTAACTTAAAAAAAATTCCATATTAGATTAGGGTATTTCCATTGGTTATCCATGCCTTAAGTAATGTAGGCTTTGGTCAGTTCTTTGTTTACAGTGGAAAAAATGGTTCAGAAAATATATATAACATAAATAAACTACTCACCACATTTACTGTTTTTCATAACAGGTCTTATTTTTTTTTATTGAGGAGAGTCAATTGGGCTTTCCATTTTTAGAAAATAAAACAAAGACAATATTACAAATAATGAAATTGTTACATCATTCACAGGGTTACAGTCAATATACATTTATACAGAAATACAGGATCTCCCACATCAGTCACAGTGGTCTGAACCGGCACTGGTCTATTATGTGGGCATTAACAGATCAGTGAAACAGGGTTATCCCCCTGACTGCACTAACCAGGAGCCAGAGCGGTAGTGGTGGATGGGGTGTTTGCTGGGGGCAGATGCGAGCAACAGAGGGGAACACATAGTCACATAGGAGAACACATGTGCCAGGATGCTGTAATTGTAAATGTTTTTTTTTTCCAACAGGCGAAAATACATGAGCTTACTCTTAGCAGCAGCCAATATTTGTCCATCAGCAGCCTGCTCAAGTCCCCCAAAACACTGGAGATTTGCCTGGTGCAGAATTCATAAAATGAATGGGCTTGAAAATTTCCCTCTGAAAATGTTTGAAAAGCATCAGTAGAGGGAGCCCTGGTGCTTCCTGTTGGAGCCATTGAATGAGAACCCTTTTCTGTTCACAACAGCATGAGGTCGACATCTTTACAGCCTGGATCAGATCACGTTCATGCACACTTTCATGTAACTGCAACAGTGAGACTTAATGCTTTTCCCCTACCCTTTAAACATTGGCACACTGTAAAAGGTGAGGCTGAATAGTTTTGTTCACCATCAAAGGTGTAAAGAAAAAAACATTCTTTAATTAAAAAGATACGGCCGGCAAATATGCAAAGCCAGAACTGCGCATAAAAAAAAAAAAAGAAGCAATAATCTGTTTATTTACAGATTGCATGTAAATTAAACAATTTTTTGTATATCAAATATTCCAAATACACAGGGATTTAAAATTCCTTTAGAAATATTCTTGCTTTAAAATGTAACTCTGAATAATCAGAACCCTCCTCTTTTCTACACATATTTCCAGTTTCCTGAATTTAACCCAAAGGGGCCCACTGTTGTATCTCCCCCCAAACTGCACTAATATAATTAGAACCATTATATAAGACTCTTCAAATTACACAATAAATGCAATACCAGCAATACTACTTGCCTTGCCAAAACAAAAAAAAAAACAAAACAAAACAAACAAAAAAAAAAGCTGACGCAGTAGTCAGAATAAAATACCCTCACCCCGTTTAGGGCAGTTCCTTGAAGCAAATGTCAGGTTTAATTGTATTGATTAATAACTCAAAGTCTTGGCAGCTTCCACAGGCGAACATCTGAATGAGCCATAATGGGGCTGAAGTAAAGAAACACTGCAACTTGCCAGCCTCTCGCAAAATGTAAATTCATTTCCTGCACATTAAGTGTTTTTCCTGGCGACGGCATATTTCCCGTATTGAGAGACGACATGCAGCGTTTCAAAGCAAAACTTCCTAGGAAATGAAATATAGGACAAGCTAAAGGTCAGTAAAAACACGAAAATATGGGTGGCATTTAAGTCACGCTATTGCCTCTCACTTCACTTCCCCTTTTTGAATCTTCGGCTTTAAATTGACCTCTGCTTTTATAATGCATGTTATGAAAAGATTCCAGGGGAATATTTGTTATGTATCCTGCAACAGAGGACTAGAAGAAAACTAAATCAATCCCTATCTGCTTTAAAGTCTGCGGACAGCTGGGGATAATGTACGATGGGATGACAGCGGTGCAGTAACTCCGGCTTGGTGCCAAAGCTGCTGTAGTGAGAACATGTAAACTCAGGTCATCGTCTGAGGGTTTGGTACAAGCAAACATGAGAAGCATTGTCCAGCGTGGAGGAATCTCACTGGCACATACCATTAGGACAAGACAAGACACAACTGCCACGCAGTCGAATGTTAATGTGCCTGCTGCTGATGCGTTTTAAACCTGCCGAGACGAACCGGACAACTGGCAAAAGCCGACTAAGAGTAGATCAGAGGAAGCCGTTTGACAGGTGGTCGACAGGCATGTGTGTTATCAGAAGGACAGAGAGACAAAATCGGTGTTGGGGCAGTGAAGCTATGATCAGGGTGCAGCCACCCCACTGTGACCAGACACATCTGACCGATGGTTCACAGCTGGAGGTCCATGTCTGTCTGTCAGCTCTCTGGGCAGAGCCTGGCAGGAGCTCGGCATTACTGCTTATCATTTATTTGCTGTGCGCATAAACTCTTGTCTGATTCACCATCTCTGAAGATTCACAGGATTTCTCTGAACTTTGTCCCCCAATACTAAGAAAACTTACAACAGGTTAACATCGACAACACAAACCAAGGCTGACAATTCTGTACTTGTGTGACAATTAGTCCTCATAAAATAATACAACAAATGCATTAATGTGAAGAAGAAAAAAAAAAGCTTTTACAAGGTAAAGCTGTTTATCTACATGGTTTTGTGTTTATGATTTATCCTTCTAAAAACCAAAAAAAGCAAAACCAAAAGGAAAGCAAAACATCCAGAGGGTTGGCAGCAAAAATAAACTCAGTGCAAAAAGGGAACTATAGAAATTCAAAAAACGCGTATAGTAGAATTGCAACAATATGAGACACATTAGTTTTTTATTCAACAAATGTATGATTGTGACTTAACTGTGTGAATGTAAAACAACTGTGAAGTATCAACATTTTAATCTTTTAAGCATAAACATCCTTTTTTTTTAAAAGGAAAACTGGAAGAATACTGAATATAATGCTAGACTAATTGCTCCAAATCAAAGCTCGGTGAAATAAACCACTCGGTCAGCATGCTATCAAATACAAGATCCCACACTGTCAGAAGCGACCTTTTTCCTTGTGCATGCGGCACATGAGTGTTCACATACGTACAGACGGCACTTGAGATAAACACCATAAAGAAGGATGCTGTAACTGGATTCCTTTGTCTGAATGTTGAGTCTGACATAAACAGTAGAACCTGTTTTTTTTTTTTTATGTTTTTCTAAGAATCTCTGTGGAAGTCATTTTGCTGTTTTCTTCACAAGCTAAAAAGATGCAGCTAAAGGCAACAACTACTAAAATGCTCCCTGTAGTCCCTGTAGACACGTCTTCAGCTCTTGAACTAATCGCCTACAATAACTATCTCTGAGTCGTCATGTTATGGCAGGTCAAGTGCATCTGATATGTACAGTACAGGATCATGACTCTAGTGCGAAGGGAAGAGTTCTATTTGGCAGACTGTGAATATTTCACTGTGAAAAAAATAAACTAGTCTTTAGTTAGAGGAAGCATGGTCAGAGGGATTCTTCAATACAAAATGTTGACAACATTAAAAGTTTCTCGCAGTGAGAAAAGTTCTTTTTTTCCTTTTTCTTTCAAGCTGATTTCACTGCATGATTTGTCCGTCTGATTAAATGTGGTTTCAACATCAGTCAAGGCCACATGTTGTCCATTTCATGGTTTGTATTTCATCTTTTTTTACCTGTGGCACCAGTTGCGTTGCGTGCGTAGCTCCCCTTTGTCTTGCAGGTGGCCACAGAGAACTCTGTGTATCCACATACTGTCCAAAATTAAAAACAAGACAAAACTTCCATACCATATTGAGGATGTTCTCCCCAACTCTTACTTTGCTTCTTTTTTTGCCCTTTTAAAGGGTAGCTCTCCTACTGAGTTCATCTAGTGTACGGCCTTATATCATCTATAAATTTAGATAAACTCCTTTCCTTATCAGATTTTCTCTTTTCTTTAAAAAATCTTTACAAAATTACCAGAATAAACCAAAAAAAAGGGGGGATAGTAAATGCTGAAACAAATTAAACTGGTGGAAGATTAAAAAATGAATTTGCTGGTCTATTCTAACCTCCCATGTTTGTGGTTTTAATGGTGGGTTTTGCTGTGGGGGTGCCTGGATTCTTCATCACTTTGATTTCCATCATCACAGCTCTTCGCAATTTATTCCAAGCATGGAGGAAGAGTCAGGGAGAAGGGAGAGGAGAGAGGGAATAGGAGAGATGAACGTTGGGCTTGATGGCAGTCTGGTGGAAAGACCAGACTTAATACCACACATGAAAAAAGAAAATCCACTCCATTCTTGACATCCAGAGCCCTGTCTCCCGACACCTTCTGCTCCTCTGTAGAGGGTCAAACCTCCACTGACTGAATCTGGTTCATCTGTGCACGCATCATCTGGACACTGTTCAGGATCTTCTTCTGATGACCGGCTAGAGTCACACCAACCCTCAGGATGTCACTGAAAACACAAGAAAACAAGTCAGGCTAACGCTACTACAATCTATCAACACTTTTTCTATACTAATACTATTAATGGATATATATATATATATATATATATAAACAGTTCAATTAACAAAGCTATAAAAAAGCAATATTACATGCTGAAAAAAAATTTGAAAAGCAGCCAGAAACAAGACAGGAGTAGCAGACTGCGGTCATTTGAATTATTATGCAGTTTCCTGTCATCTTTAGAGGTTATCTGTAAGTGAAAATAATAAACAAAAGTTTAACTGTCTCTAAATATACCTCTAAGTTCTTGTTCTTTTTTGCTTTCGGGAAGATTTACTTTTTTATTCTAAGAGGAAAGCAAGAAAAACAATCTGAAGCTTATTTTTCTAAGCATTTACTTGTGAAATATTTGTTCTGTCACTAGAGACACTTGTGTAAATCTGCTGGCCTATAATAACAGCCATTACAAGGATCACCAATAAACTACGTATTTCCTAATATATCAACCTTCTGCATTCAGTTTGATAAAAGAATAAAATACATTGGTGATCAAGGATATTTGAGGAATAAATTACAATTTCGTTGTATGACTGCCCTATCCTAGGACCAAGACTCTGTTTTTTAAATGTCTAATAAATTCCTGTCAATACATGTTTACTTTTACATTTTATACAAAACTCATTTGAGTTAATAATTGTATACACATTTATTTTGTGGTTATTATTTAAGGGTTAAAAGCTAAATAAATAAAAAACCTCTAAAAACTGAGAAAAAGAAAAGAAAAATGTAATTGATCACACTTCAAATATTCCATTTAGATGTGCTGTAATGTAGCTTACCAATAATGCTAAATAACTTTGCTATAGGCTGAATAATCATCTGTAACTGTTTAATAGAAATATTGCCCAGGCAGCTATCTTGTTTAATTCATAGGCTGTTTAATTTGCAAAAGGACTTTTGCATTACAGTGATTTTCATTTTGATGTGTGATCATTAAGATAAACTTTTGTTTCAATGTATACATTCTTTACTCTACTGCTCTTAATCGCAATAAAACTAATTTAAAGATACATAGTACACAATTAATACAAATAGGAATATATTTTTCTTAAACTTAATTTAATAAACTTATTTTTATTTGTTATTTTCTTATCTTATATAAATAAATACTATGTATTTATATAAACTAAAATGTATAAAGTTAGTTTCTTTTATTGTAAGATTTGCTATTCTTTAAGCTTGGGACTTTTTTACTTGCATTTGTCTGGTAATGTGTTTTTATCTACTTCAACCGCTTTTTTAATCTTAAAAGCAAACATTTATATTTTTATAATATTTCTGGGTTTGTAATGACTGTATTTTAATTTACTGTGCAAAATTATCCTCTAGTTTAGTGACTGAGAAGCTTTTTTACCACTGTGGTTGGTCTAGCATATTTTATGGAGGAAAATATTTGCTCTAATGACAAAGAATGACAAATATCCATTTTTTCTTACAAGCAGACTTTAGTCAACGATTTTTCACCGTATCAAAGGGGTGCTAATTCAAACATTATTTAGTCACAACAGGGCAGCTATTTATCCATTACACAATACATTCCTCTGCTTTTATGCTGAATCTTAACAGTAATCACATTTTGTTGGCTTACACATCACCATCTGTTTGTGTGAAAAATGAAAGCTAAATATCTCTGTGGGCTGATTTCTGGTTGTATTGTTTTCTGTAAGTGGGATATATATTTTTCAGCAACTTAACCCTTGGGCTCCTGTTTCCTCTCTAAAGCAACGTTTGACTGGGAGCTGTTGAATACATGACCTAAAGCTTTAAAGTGTATCAAACCCCATGAAAAAGCAACCCCCCTCCTGCAGACATATTATGAAGCGGAGTGTGGTCAGGACAAGGGAAATTAACAGTGAATTTGATTTGACGAAATGATCTAAGTACATAAAATAAAACAATGCTGAAAAACAGGTGAGAAAATGCTCACTTGGAAAACACTATCAATCGGTACGAGAAGGGATCACAGTTCCAACACCTGACTTTCCTCTGGGGTTGCTTATCTTAGAGAGGTGGGTTCATGCTAAAATTCCTTTAGTCGGAAAGCTACACAGAACAGGTGGGGCAATGGGTAGAGCTGTTGCTTTGCATCTGGGTTTGATTCCTGGCCCGGGTTCTTTCTGCATGGAGTTTGCATGTTCTCTCTGTGCATGCATGGGTTCTCTCTGGTCACTTTGACTTCCTACCACAGCCAAAAAAACATGACTGTTAATTTAATTGGCTTCTCTAAATTCTCCTTAGGAGTTAGTGTGAGCTTCAATGGTTGTGTGTCTTTGTGTGTCTCTATGTCAGAGGTCACGGATTACCAGGGTCAGGATCCGGACCCACCTGCTGGATAATCCAGACCCAACCTGATTTAAAACATTTAGAAATGACTGCATGTTATCCGACTACAGTGTCTAAAAATCCCTTGCGCCACCTCTCCTGTTTGTACGGTAAAGCCATTCATAGCGTCCTGCATCAGGCTACACCTGATACAAATTAGCCAATGAGCTGTGTCAGTCTGGGTTGCTGCTGCTAGCTACTTTAGGACACAATAGGCAAACCTGTGGCAAAGCGAGAATACGATGAGAAAAAGACAGCAGAGTGTGGACTGCTGGAAGAAGCGTGGTGAATTAGTGAAAAAAAGATGACTCTGCATATTTTGAGTATATTTGGCTGGATTCTCCACCATGAACATATTCAAAAATAAATATTGATCCAGGCTCAAAATGAGCTCCATGATATGTGCTTGAGAATGGATTTGTAGCCAATCAAACCCAATTTTAAAGCCTTGCAGGTCAGCCTAAAGCCCACTTCTCTTATTAAACCATAAAAAAATGAAAAAAAAAAACGTCAGTTCAGGTGTTTTATAAAAAAAAAAAAAAATTTAGTCTGGAAATTGTCAATTTACAAAACTGAAATTTAGATTTTAAAATGAAAAAAATGTAAAGGATACATAAACACTTGCATTTTATTTCAGCGTTAAATGATGTTTAAAGTGACAGATTATAAATAAAAATATCTCTGGACCTTTAATGGTTGTTGATTTTATTTATTCAGCCTGCAGAGATTTTTAATTGGTTACCCCTGCTCTATTTTGCCCTGCAACAGACTGGCGACCTGTCCAGGATGTACCCTGCCTGTCGCCCGTAGACTGCCAAAGATAAGCACCAGCCCACCACGACCGCACAAGGATTAAACGGGAGAAAATGGATGGATAGAGCAGTGGTTTTGTCATTGATAAGGTTGCAATAGGTGCTATAGTGACCATATACCAACAGTGGAAAATATGAGTACCCACAGGCTGAAAACTGGAAACCTATCACCTAAGAGATTGCATCACTTTGAATACCCAGGGATATTAAGGGGAGTGGTGGCCTAGAAGTTGGGACATTGCGCTTGGAGTTCAAGCCCCACTCCCACGGACTGCCACTCTGGGTCCATGAGCAAGACCCTTAACTCCAACACTGCTCCCTGGGTGCTGCAAATGGCAGCCCACTGCTTCCCATTGGGATGGGTTAAATGCAGAGAGTGAATTCCGTTACTTTGTACTTGTGTCAGTGTAATGACAATAAAGTTAAATTCTAAATTCTATTATAAACTGAGTGCACCTTTATAATCAAACATGAGGTTGTGATGTACACATGAATTGTTTTAACCAATCGCATTAACCATGTCTCAACCCATAGAGGGCAACACTACCATGGTTTTAAGCTTTTTTGCAGAATAAAACCAGTTTACAAAAAGGTTTGAAGATTTGCATGGTAACTTAAAGATGGTGCCTTAAGACCTAATTTATACAGTCCATCTGCAAAAAAAGTGCCGTGGGGTCTTAACTACTCTAAGCTATTGCATCCACTTTTTAGTCTCCCAATTCAAGCATTGTACGAAAATGTAATTCAGAGATAGCACCATTTATATAAGGCCACAGACAATCTTGTTATTAAGATTTAAAGCCTAAACTTCTCAACACCCACTTCTGTTAACATTTTCTCTATCAAATATCAGACATTCAGTGAAAGGTACCGTAAACACTTACTCCATGGTCATCTGAGACACCACATCAAATGTCGAAAAGTCAGAATTGGCAAAGTTTTCTTTGTACTGGCCCATTTTGATGGCATCCAGCCACTCATCTACAGTGCTGAAGGTGGAGAAGTCTGGGATGCTGCGGTCCAGGAGTGGGAGATGAACCCTACAGCAGAGACAAGGAGAATGGATCAAGAATAATAATAATAGTTCAAACCAGAATATATCACATCATAGCCAGTCCGGACCACCTGCGTATGATTTATTATGTTACATTGAAAAGATAGTGGACAGAGCATAAGAGAATCCCACGAGTCTAATCCATGAAAAAGTTTTTTTCCAAACTACATCCTTATAAAGGGTTTTTTCCAAATGAGGTGATAGTCTTCAGGGAGCCAATGTATTCACTGACTGTCTGTGGAAAATCTAGGTTGTGGCTCTGGACTTCACCGCAAACGAAAGTACATGAAGGGATAATGGACATCAACTAAGTCCTGGCTCTGAGAGCAAACTAACACGTAGTAGAGATTCTTAAAAATGTTTTCTTAAAAAAAAAAGCTGGGTTGCTTCAAACCCAGGCTTGCCTGGAGCGTTCGTGGGAACATTTGGATCGATCAAACCAAAAGGCTTTAATTTACATAACCACTCGGCGCCAGGAAAAACAACAGAAACTGTGTTTGGCAAATGTGAAGAGTGCCACAGAAGACACTGTCGCAAAAACACAAATATTTTAGTCAACAGTTGAAAGCCTTGGTACTGTTGGAATCTGAGAAGAATCATACACTGAAGGGTGTTTTTCATATCAGGGAGATAGAGGGTAAAATAAAAAAGGAAAAAACAGCTTTTTTTTTCATGATGTCGATGTAGAACAGATTAAACACGCATCCAGTTTCTCACAGAGAGTAAAGCAGAGATCACAGAAGGAGAAAAGCAGAGACTGAAAACAATGACTAAGCTAGCTTTTCACTTACCCTGAAGATAAAGGAGTCATAGCCTTCAGTGTGTTGGGATTGCGGATCATCTTGTCGAGGTTGTTAACAATTTGGCTAAACTTGGGACGGTTATTACGGTCCTTCTGCCAGCAGTCCAGCATGAGCTGGTGAAGCGCGCTGGGACAGTCCATTGGAGGGGGAAGCCGATAGTCCTGCTCTATAGCATTGATGACCTGTGGGGGCAACAGAGATCTATTGAAATCACGTACAGGAAGAGACATATCAAGTAAAACAAATGCAGCTTTCCGGTAAAATGTTTACAACTCTAGAAAATTTGAATTTATTAGTAATTAAGTTATTGTTTCAATATTTTTTGGCTTAAGCAACCAATATAAAATTAGAATTCAGCTGATTCAATGCTTCAAAAGCATAAAATAACACACAGCCTAATAATAAGAGAACAGTGAAAGATTAATCCACCTTAAAGTATTAAAATAGCTATAATGAATTTTAAAATAAAGTGATCTTTCATAACAAGTGTATACTATTAAAACAAAAAATGCAATGACATCCAACATTTGAAGACTTTTTTCACAAGGCAACTTATTAATGTTTTTTTTTTACAAAGTCCAGTATCTAGAGTATGTATGATTTTTTTTTCTTTTTTCCACACTGAAAATTTTCTGACTATCAAAAAAAATTATGATTAATTTTTTCAAGATTATAATGTCAGGGATTCGGGATATAACTGCATTAGCATGTTGGTAACAGGATTGGGGGTTGTTTAACTAACAACAGAATTAACATAAGCAAAGTGGTAGCTTTTTCTTTGTAGTAAAAGATAAATGATTCCATAAAAATACAAATGCCTTACTTGTTAGATCATGACTGAACTGTTATAAAACACTTTGTTTAGGTTCTCTCCCATAACATTACTCATATCTGGCCAAAATTACAGCAAGACCTTTAAAATAAAGAAGGCTAACAGATTTCAAAGTGGAAAGGAAATTAAAGTGCCTGTAACATGCTTTTCCATTAAATGAAGAAAGTGGAAGAAAAGTATATGAACATTTGAAAAATCTGTCGTATTTTACATTTCATGGTGATAAAAGACCAAAATGGACATTTCTTTTGTTAAAAGTCAACCGTCAAAAGTAGAAAATGCAGGATTAATCACTGTATGAAAGTCCATTATAAACAGTTCAGGTAGACGGCACGCTGCGCAAAAACAGTGGTAATATGGTCAAAGGGCGACTTGCTGTGGGGTTGCAGGAATACTCTGACACCAGACATCAGTTTGCACTATTTTTCTGGATTCAAGAGGATAAGCACTGCCAGAAACGGAGCTGTAAAACTGACGAGGGACAGCTGGACTGGTCCCACTAAGCACAGCCTGTTTGATGTGAGGATTTTTCGGCAAACTGCCTCAAACACGAAACGTCTGAATTCGCTTGAGATGCCAGAAGACCTAATATTTTACAGATGAAGGAGAACCTTGGAGAGAGATGCTATTTCATTTTCATGTTTTTTTTCTTCATTTCATTTATATATTTATTTCAGACTTGCATTAAATAAAGAAAAAAGGCATCTTAGTGCATCTAATCTGAAAGCTTGTCAAGGAAACGGCGGATACGAACACGGAACAGCGGGTAAGAATACGACCTTGTCACGGCAGCAACCTTAGAAACAAATCCAAAATAAGAGATCAATTCCAAAGGACAATTACTACAGATACTAGGGTTAAAATAAATAATAAATTGGATGGTGTTTTCAATTTCTAAACTCATCCGTTGTTTCTGCTGCTGCTACTCCTCTGATCTGCTCTGTATTTTTTCTACTGCTGCATGGGGCTTTCAGCCCTGGTAGCGGCTCCAACACATACAGGGCTGTAGTAGCAGTTAGCTTACATGATAGAGTTCCCTTCTCACATCATAAAAAGTGCAACAAAATCAGAAAATGATGATCTGAAAAGCTATTATTCGGGGGATTTTGACCATATTTCTCAATAGCAGTTTATTTCAGCTGCATTACATTTTTTTCAACAGTATTTTATCAGTTTTTCATCATTATGTTATTATATGTTTTTTTTCTATACATTTATATATATTAATTTATGCTAAGAAAAGGATGTCACAAGCAATGCTGGGTGACTTTAAGCCTTTAGGGGCACTAGACCTGTAATTTCCAGATTTAAAAACCCTGAAAGCAAATGGCAGCATTACATTGTCACAAAATGAAACAGTCTTCCTCTATGTTTTGGAATCTGATAGCAGAAAACCACTTTGGACTGGCAGATTGAGAAGTCATGGAGTTACGTGTAAAGACAATGCCACATTCGCTCCTCTAGATTTAATCCTACATGAGAGAACCAAAATATAAAGGTAAATATCATACCTGTTTTGATGCTTAGCAACAACTTTTAGCTCAGTCAGCTCTGTTTTTTTAGAGGAGTCCAGACTATTGTAAAGCAGATATTTGGGTAACATCACCAATTTAGGGAGGAAGACGAATTCCATCAGCTTACATAGCTGAGTTACATAGCTCTAATTTAGCTTTTACCTGTGTGAAAACCTATGCACTGTTGCTTTAAAAACAGGTGCAAGACATGTTGCAAAGTGTGAGCTATTTCTAAGGCACCATGACTCAAATGTAGGGAATGCTAGGAGCCATTTTTAACAATATTCCTTTAAAAAAATAAAGAATTTGTTGAAAACCAAATTTTAAATCTACTGATGTTAAAAATAGTTTTTGGATGTGAAACAAAATTTTTAATGAAACCTTTTCCAATGGATGGTGTAACAGTTAGGCCCACTTCCTTTGGCCACCCTTTGAAATGGTCAAATAAGCAAAATGTAGTTTTGTATATAAATCATTTTAAATAATGTATTATTGGAAAAATCCCGCCACCCCCCATAGAAGTAGTACTACGTACTAGTAGCAATACAGTGTAGAGAACTATATTTTCACTTGCCTGATATTTCCAGTTTATGTAAAAACACAAGGTTGGTATATTTTCATCAGCCATCTCGGCTAAAAATAACTTACTGAAGGTCTTTTTAGTGAATTTCATGTTCAGTCTCACTTTTAAGATTGTCTAACACTTGTCCACAGAGGTAGGGCACAGTTAACAGAGAGAAACAACCCCAAGCACACTTGCAGGAAGGGCGAACAATCCCTTGCTCATTATCGAGGTCATTAAAGAAGCTCCATTCAGACGCAGATTAATCTTATTCACAAGACCTCCAAACGAGGACCCCGATGGAGCAGAAACACTATCTGGAGCTGCTAATATGATAACCGTTGAGGTCCTCAGTCCCTCTTAGCACATTAGTGTTCTCACTTTCAATTTGAAACTATTTTCATTATCTCTCTCCCCATAATTTGCTCTCTCTCTCTCACTACCCAGAGGGAAACAGAAAATGAAGACTCCAGTCAAGAGTAGAAATTGTCCACAGAATACAGCTGTGCATTTCAAGTGATCTGATTTTGACCGTGTGGTGAGAGTGGAGAAACATTTTTATAAAACCCTTGTGTTTAGCTAAGGGCTAGGAGACGCTTTAAAAAAAAAAAGAAATTCAGTCTTAACTGGGGGCCGAAAATTAACAGGACCAGAAAAAATGACAAAATCCATGTTAAATACATACATCTTGATTGGTCATGTCCCAGTAAGGTCTCTCTCCGTAGGACATGACTTCCCACATGACAATCCCATAGCTCCACACATCACTAGCAGAGGTGAACTTTCTGTACTGGATTGCTTCAGGAGCAGTCCAACGGATGGGGATCTTCCCTCCCTGTGAAAACAAAGGGAATTACCCCAGTGAGACAGGTAACACTGAAACCTAACCGCCACAGACCGGAGAGACGTGTTCACAAAAACAATAATGGTAACAGTAATCCAAACAGGGAGGTGCCAAAAACAATACTTCTGAGAGGGAAAGTGCAGTACATAGAATAGAATAGGAAAACAAGTACAGAGATGGCATTTGTCCTGATAGGGGGGAACAGAGTGGGAGTGCACTGTGGCAATTACGTCAGTCCCTGGAGAGTCCTTAAAATAACCCAAATAAACAAACCTCAGGGCAGAAATATATAAACATGCATCAAGCAAGTAATCGTTTTAATAATTTTGAGATTAGACTTCTTTTAGATGACTGATATTAACCTCTGAAATCAGTGAGTTTGATAAAAAGGTAAGTAAATATTTTATTACCAGAGCACTAGTGTACGTAGGATCCGATGTATCGTCCTCTAAGAAGCGTGAGAGGCCAAAGTCTGACACTTTGCATACAAGGTTGCTGTTGACCAGGATGTTTCGGGCAGCCAGGTCACGGTGCACGTAATTCATGTCTGCAAGGTACTTCATGCCTGAAGCAATGCCACGTAGCATACCAACAAGCTGGATCACAGTGAACTGTCCATCATTTTGCTGTGGAAAAAAAAAATATTGCAAAACATCATTTATATATTAAAAGAAAACAAAAAAGCTTCATGCTTGGGGTTCACCTGATACCATGGCATTGCAAATAAAATTTTAAGTTTTAGTTTTAAATGCATCACACTGACAACACCAAACCAAAACACTGCATAACTGCACCATATATATTTAATGCTCTGAACTTCCATATCAATGTGTTTTTTCTCCCACACTCTTTACATTTGATCACTGCTGCAGTTTAAGGAATGGAAATGTCATGAAATCTGTACAAAATGAAATTCAGTTCTGTACACACTGTGTATACAAAATGAAAATAAAGGTTGTCTAAGTCTACAAAAGTCCTCTGGCCTAGTTTAAAAGCATATTCTATTGGTATTCAATAACAAATTTAAATGTTACATTTTTCATTCAAAAGACCCCTAAATGTCTTATCTTAATTAAAACATTATATTATCAATATGCAAGAATAAACAGTCTAATTAAAACCTACTTGAAAATGCCTTGCAGTTTTTAGTTGCAATTCATTTTATCTTTTAAACACTTATTATTTTCAAGACTGAACAGTCTTATAAGAAAACTAGTAATACTTTGTTAAAACATTTTAGAAAGCAACTTTAGAAATGTAGCACTCATTTCTTAAGTTACATGTAAAATCAGTCTGCTGAGAGCTTACTCGTTACATTGCACTACAAAAGTAGAATCTCTCAGCTGTGGCGTTGAGAGCTTACTTTCCTGCAAATATGCATTCTAGCGTATAAAAAACACCATATGGATGTTTTAACAAGGTCAAAAGCTTGATTCACTTAGAGGACAGCCTTTAACTACCAAACTGCGAGCCATATGTCAGCTTTTTTTAGATTGTTAGGTTGTTTTGTTTAGTAATAACCTTGCAATAATTCAACCTTTTGATGAACACTTTATGCAAAATGTCTTTGTTAGCATATTTAATCAGAGTTAAGATATAAAGGAAGATCTATACCAGAAAAATATGCTTGTAAAGGTCTAGAAAAGACACAGCAAACACATCATTCTCACAGTAAATATATTTACTCATAACATTGATAATTCCTATTAATTATTAAGAAGTGTCAGTTGTAATTGTACCGTTTTCTACTTTTTTTGTTTAACTGATATTACTGTTACAAATCTATTGTGCTTTCAGATTCTTGCGTCCTTTCAGAGGCAAACTTCCTGGCTGAACTAAATTATTTTAAGTGTCTCTGGAAAATGTATAGTTTTGAGATCAGTAGTAAATCTATGTTTTAAGTAACAATTTAGTAACACGAATAATTAAACACATATTCAGCACATATGAGAAGACAGTTAAAATGTCCATTAAAACTCAATAAAGTTGATAAAAACTCTTAGCCTTTAGAAGATAATCCTACACCCTATCAGTGTAAATTAGGTCTTTATTTATTTATTTTAAAAGAAAACATTCTCATCACACTGTGAACATTTTATAATGGGATATATCAAATAGTTATTTCAAGATCTTGTCTTATTGTCACAAAAGATAATTGCTGCTTTGTTTACAGACACATTTCTAAACTTCCAAATGCCTCCTTTTCCACTATTGTGGCCATAATTGGGAAAAACACCATTTTAGCACAAACCAGCCATGACCAGGTGCTCCTGGCAAGCTTTTTGACATTGTGCTATAGAATAATTAGAACAATTATGGAAGAGCCTAGGGCCACTATTAGATATTTTTAAGAGATCTGGAAAAAGCAGAAGCTCATTTTCTTGAAAACAAAAAATATAACTCCCAGGGGTGATTAAATTGATGCCATTCACATAACAAGATCCTCTTCACAATATGGGGCACCTTAAAGGATGTTACAGATTTAGATTCAGCACATTTAAACATGTCAGTGAATACTGAAGGAATAAAATCCGCTTGGATTAAATCAATATTTAGAACCTTAGATGGTGCACTGATCGTGTTTGGGGAAGGAAGGGCACTACTCATCACTATAGCAGTGAAAAAAAAAATAAAAAATTCAGCATATTGCACCTTAATACCCACAATGTTGGCGGACTGATAAGCGGAGTAATGTATTAGAAGATCTGAAGATGTAACACAAATGAGATATTAAAGCATAATGAGAATCTTATACGAACGGAGCAAAGGAAATGGATGTCAGACAAGTAAACACTGCAAAACTGCAAAAGTGGCCAAAAGAATCACCTCATGTAAAAAACTAGTTCACTCAACAAAAGTTCAGGCTGCATGGAGAATTCTTCATGAACCTTCAAGCTTTAAAGACAGTTTATGTTGAATAATGGGTCAAAGTGACTCTCCAAGAATTCCTATGACTAAGATCCCCATTTAAGAGAGGTTTAGAAGTCTCTTCAATACATTTCAACAGATATATTCAATAGTTAGTTACTACAAATGAACTAATTTATAGACTGATCAGTTTTTATTTGTTTGTATAAAATGCTGTGTTCAATCTGACTTTCCCTTCCAACTATACCATTTTTCTGTCAATTAAAATATTAAAATTAAATCCTAATTTGAATTAAAATTGTAAATATGAGAACGCTGTATTTGGTTATGAGGTGCTACGATTTTACACTACTTATACTAACTTATATAGTCTGAATATGGTTAAGTTATTTTTCTGTACATTTTTTTTTATAAGGGAATCCTGCAGCAGACCAACAGGTTTTGGTCCAGCTTATCATGCCTCGGCAGGGCTAAGCTGGGACTGGCTGTCTGCTTACAGCTGTTCCCTTTTCCGTTCTGGTGACGGCTTTATACCCCATGTTCGGTTAGTGTCTGAGGCAGTGGTGCAGCTGTGCCTCCAACTGGGCACACCTGCATAACTTCCACCACCCACCACGATGCCAGGAAACTCAAATACTTGAGAGAACGGGGCAGGAAAGAATAAGATTGAGTGTGGACAGATAAAAAAAAAAAAAGCAGGTCAGAAAAGCCCAAAGCACGGCCCAATTTCATATATACTTTACTTTACTTTAGAGCCAAATCCTCCAATTAAACTCAGGTGAAGTCAGGGGGAAAAAAATGCCGCTTCAGTACAAATTCCTGTTTGAGTTTGTCAAATAACTCTTCATGCAAGTCTGGAGTTTATTCTGTTTATTTTCTAAGCTTATATGTGGCTCAACATTCAATCCCATCTATGATCTCTCAATCCCTGCTCTATTTCTACAGCTTGTTTTTCTATAGCAGTTAAGCCAAACCATTAGCAGGCAGCTCAGTTGTCGCCTCAGTCGCTGTTTCGAACAACAAATGATCAATTGCTTTAAAAGATAAAAAATCTTGTTCAACGACTTCAAGCTCTCTGCAACTGTAACTATTAGGTATTGCCAAACTTTACTGGTTTGAAGAAAAAACAAAAGAGGCCTCAAATATGTTTAGCTAGTATCTACATATGCAAAAGAAAACCAGCTTTTGCAGGAAGATCAGATTCCCCCTAAAAAAAAAGCTGATCCTTTTCCTCTGTGAGGTCAGAGGCAGAACGCATATAAAGACTCCGGAGCCAGCCTCAGTTCTGTGCTGACAGCCGTTTTTATGTCGGCTTCATGAGGTTGGCTTTGATGCAGGCTTGGAGGTGGAAGCTAAGCCTGAAGACTATAAATACTAAATACTATTTAAAGGTAAAATATATAATTCTATAAATCCATGATTGTTAACGCACTTTTCACACTCACAAATCTTAATGTTTTAGATAACATGGAAAATATTACAATACAACTGGATCTCATAGACAGTATGATGAACTAGTGTATTTGGGTATCTAGCCTTTTGCCCTCTAAAATCTGGAAATGGGGAGCAGGTATAACAACAGCTGCAAAATGTGCTTTTTTTCTGATATTATTTCTTTGATAGCTCGATTTAACACTTTAAAAAAACTACCTCTAAAATACTATCTAACTAAGCATAGATGGTTTTTTTTTCTACTATTTTCATTTGCATGGAAGATAACTGGCAAAGACCAGGAAAGGTAGAATTATATCAGTGTTCTATAATTATTCCAAACACTGACTGCAGCTTTTGTGTAGTAAACATGAGGCAATCTAACTATATTTACTGTAGATCCTAATTGCAACTAGGAGCCATAAAAATACAACCTGTCATTAACATGTACATAAAATTAAGTCCACTGAAAATATACTTTACATCTTAAGTCCCCATTACTCACATCTTGTCTAGCAATTTGTTTAAAAAAAAAAAGACACATTTAAAAGTGGAACAAAGCAAACAAAACCATAAAAACAACATATTTGATTTGATTTCAGAGCTACATGTATCCCAGCACAGATAGGGATGACCTGTTTAACATCTCATCCTATAGTGGTTTCATAATTAAACATGTGACATTTCATTTCAAGTCCAGAAAAGCATCTGAATTATTTATTGTGGGTCGTAAATGGAAGCACGGAAAGTTTCCTGTAATATCCCTGGCTGGTAAGATTATGAAAATTAAAATTCCGATGAACTCATGAGCACTTTACATTTCTTGTCAGGGAGCATAAGACAAAAATAATTAGAATTTCATAAGCGACCATGCATAGCAGTGCATAATAAGCAGTGAGACTAGGAGCGACAAGTCTGCACTCTACCTAACAACGCACCTCATGAAGCAGAGCAAAATAAAGACTGACAGAAAATATTGCTGAGAGACAGGTTAAAACTGAATTTGATTTGCAATCTAGTAGAATAACTCTGCAATGGGAAAAAGGAGGTGCTATGGTAAAATTGCCCCCAGCAATTGAATTGTATTAATTTTTATGATGTGTTGTTGTAACAGATTTGCTGGATATTATTATGCTCTACGTGGAGCAGGACAGAATATCTCTTGACAGTTTTTGACAGATAGTTTGCAGTCAGCACCGCAGTTATTTTGTCAGGCAGAGTCTGTTTTAATAAACGTATTATGCTGAGATCATTGGGTAATTTTTTTATTCTTGTCAAAGTAAAAGCTCTAAATACAGACCTCCAAGCCTCAAAGGAGGAAGCCCTGTCTGTTTTTGAGCAAATGTTGTTGTTAAAGCTATCATTACTCTGCAGAGCTGTAAAACGGTAGTCGAGTAATAGCATAAAAACTGCTATAGGGGGAAAAATTCTGTTTTCTTACTCTTAGGAAGGTATCAAGGGATCCATTCTCCATGAATTCAGTGATGATCATTACAGGACTGCTCTTGGTAACCACTCCTTCCAGATGAATGACGTTAGGATGGTCAAACTGACCCATAATGCTGGCCTCGCTCAGAAAGTCTCGTCTTTGCTTTTCGGTGTAGCCAGACTTCAGGGTCTTTATGGCCACAAACATCTCCCTTTTCCCCGGGAGCTTCAGGTTGCCACTGCACACTTCCCCAAACTCTCCTATTAAGACATGACACATAAAATAGTTGCAATTATAAATCCTTCATAATGAAATATATCATTATTACACCTTGGCAATCTGCTATAGAAATATTGCATAGCAACCAAATTTCAATGAGCTCTTTCAGTTACCTGCACCAATGACCTGTTCAATCTTCACACAGGAAATATCAATCTCCTTGGCAAACTCCCTCACTGCCTCGTTCGGGTCTTCATATGTGAATGGATCAATGTAAATCTTCATTCCTGGAGACACTTGGAAGACAGGAAAGAGCCACTATAATATTGAATTGTTGTGGTCACGTTAGCAGACCTATGTGCCAGACAGTCCAATGCAGTGAGGGAGTGTAATAATTCATTCATATTTCATTTTGTGCTATCCTGTGCAATTATGGATTTTTTTTTCTAAGACATAAAGGTAATGAAGGATGAAAGATGAAAGAGGTACTGTAATTACAAATGGTGGTATGACAGGCACCTTATGGGTACTGCGTGTGGTTGTTCAGTCAGCAAGGACATGGCACCTTCAGTCATCTGAGCTGTGATTTAGTGGGTTAATATATATATCATCTCCAGTGAGCCACTGTGCCATTAACACTCAGGAGAGGAAGTGGGGTCTTATATTGGTATTGCTCAACTCCACCTCTAGAAATAAATTGTCTGTCCTAAGTTGCGATGCCAGGTAAATTGGCTTAAGGTGGCCTTTAAGTGTTCGGGGACTTAAGTGTCCTTAGTTTAAAATCTGATTATAATGCACATACCTCCACATTAGACCTGAGGCCATCTGAATGGATGCAGAACTCACGCATGGCCTGCTGCTGTGCAAGAATAGCATGCACATTGCCTCAAACCCTGGCAGACTACAGCGAGAAAACATGCTTGAGCAATGGAACAGATGGAAAAGATCTTACTCGGCGCAACCCCCCATTACTAAAGCCCACAATCTCTTCTCAAGCTGAAGCATGGTTCAAAAGACCACCTTCCTTTAATGGCGAAGACGACCATAAACAAGGGCAAAAGCCTGAACTGCGACTGGTGTGAGAACAGGATACACACAAGACATGTTGGCTTCTGATAATAGCTGTGAAATACCCAGCTATTTACTGGCACGTTCTTCACTGTAGCTAAAACTGGAATCCTCTGCACAGCTTGTCTGGGCTTTTCTAAGAAACTAAGAATCTTATGAGAGAGTCTGATTTGTTAAGAAGAGATAAAAGCAAACAACCATATAAATAGATACAAAATTATGAATTTAACTCTAAAAAAAGATCTGTTAATGAGGCAAGAGGGAAATATCTTTCTCACAAAATGATCACTGCATTGACGTGATTGAAACTATGCTTTTTTTTAACTGCATACAGAAAGAATATCCTTGAACAATTCCAATCATTCCCTAAATTCCTTTGAAAGTTGACAAAAGCAAACGACTCATCCGCCTTAGCGTTCTAACGGCCTCTACAATGACTGAAGGCTGACCTATTTTTTAACACAATTAAATTATCTAACTAAGACGTCATGCATATAACATAGAGTTAAACGCTGATTTCTGTGTGGTTATCCACACCCTAAGTGAGTAGAATCAAACAATGGGAAAGATCACACAAAAGTACAGGCTGGGGAAATGAGCAGGGGCCCACAGAAAAGGACCGCAGCAAGCAAGGTGGTAGCCATGGAGACATGAGGCATCGGCGTGTTGGATGAGCGCCACAGGAATGACACGGAAGTCATAGATACAGGTGTGTCTAGTCCTGCGGCTGAAGCCGTTGGTGAGAGTGGGTGGAGAAAAGTGGTGGTTTACTCACTGTGGCCGCTGGTGTAGTGCTGTAGTTTGTCTGTGTATTCTGAATCACCCCTGTCAAAGCCACGCCTCCTGGGGAAAAGACAAAGAACTCTAGCTCTGGCTCGGAGAGAGGGAGCAAGGAGGGGGAGAAGACATGAATCAAACACCCCCAGGTGTATCTAAGCTTTAGATAAATCAGCTAAAACCAGACTACGGAAAAATATATTGTTTTTTTTCTTTGCTACACAGAAAAAGGCATCCACACAGGCATACCACACAAATCTAAATATATCTTTCATTCCAGCCCTACTTTATTAGATGCATCAACCCTTTTGAGGGGAAACTATTGTAAGCTTGAAATATAGTCTCCTTTTTGTCATCATTGGATTCTTTTTATCATCTACAGTTTGAATGTAGACTTATTTTCATTAGTGTATATTAACAATCGTGATCAAAAATACAGTATTCAAACAGATCAAACTATATGCAGGTTCATCTAAATGCATAATGATTGAAATACAAATATATTTGCATTCAGCCCTTAACCAGAAACAATAGAAGCTTCTTAATGAGGCTCAGGAGAAAAAAAGACTGGAGTGTTGAACCATAATCAAAAGTCCTGGATATCAGTAAATGTATATAATTTTTTATATTGAGAATATATACTATACAGTACATGGACATACTCTTTAGATGTGTAAAAATTCTGCATAACATTTTTTTTTTGTTGTTAAGTAATATATTATTTTCATCAACCCTTTAATGACTTGTAAGAGATTATCAGTAATAATAATAAAAAAATGCCTAAAATGTGTCTCTGGATGCACTCTCATTAATTTTTTAAGTATTTTGTTATGAAAGTTGCTTATAAAAATAGACTAAAGTTATACCAAAATCAGATTGTATTTAATGTTTAACATTTTTTTCATGGATAAAATTATCCATTTTATTTTTTGTAACATATTTCTGCATTCTCTTTAAGAATTATTTATTTTTCTTATTTTAATCTTTTTAAAGACTTTATAAATCAACAAAATATATTAAATGAACTTGATTTAGACTGTAACCTTTTTTTAACCTTACTGCCTAAAATCTAGAGTAAATTTTAAGTGTACGTTTTTATCTAAATGTTCTACACTTTAGTACCATCTATATAATATCATTTTGTAGCCATAATCCAAAACGGTGATATACTGCATAGATAAAAGCCTGGGGGATATCTGAAGCATTAACATTGTCATGGTGGGAAATTTATCTTAGGTGTACTCTGTAGACTTCAAAATGCTGCACAGGTGCAGACCTGCACTGTCTGAATGATTGGCCCAATTGGGAACTGAAATCCAAGCCAGATATGAATCAACTGACTTTTTCACAGAGCTGTATTTTTTAAAGACCAAGAAGTTTGCATCTACGACAGGTTTATTTTTGTGTGTGTGTGGCTGTGGATTGAAATTGGTTAAGAATTGAGATATCTGAACAGAAGTAGTTTTATTTTCAGAACAAAAAAATTGCAGGGGCAGCAATTTGTAAAACTCTTTCAAAGACTTTTACATTAGAGAACTGACTCACCGGTTACAAACGATGATGATGACAACCAAAGCAATGAGGAAAACCATTCCTGCAGCTGCTGAACCAATGATGAGTGGAAGCTTCTCTTGCATGTTTGTGCTGTACTCCTCTATATTAGAACAAAAAAAAAAAGAGAGAAGTGTAATTCCAAGCATGCCCATACACACAGTCACAAGGCGCCACAAGCTGAAACATATGGGAAAGCATCTGAGCTGCTGCAATGGGTGGCAGACTGGCATAAGGCTGGGTGAACCAATGAGCATCTTGGCATCTCTGCTGGCAGCACGCAACATCTTGTAAACCACATCGAATGTGCTTAGATGCCACAGATATGGACAAATCATCTGGCAGAAAGTGTGTGAAGTGAAGGAGAGAGAGAGAGCATATTTGCATGAGAAGCAGACTGCTCCGAAAGCCAAGAATGAAGAAAGTAACTTCTAAATGGGTGCGAGAAAAAAAGAAAGCTTCCGCTCTTTAAAGTCACATAAGAAAATTAAATTAAATTATCCATTTAATGGAAGCAATTAAATGTAATAAAAACTTAATTTTGGTGTTTTTGCTTCTGGGAAAGCTTCACTTTCCCTCTGCTTCTATTTTGCTGAAACTGTAAGCTTTGTTTATATTTGTGGAACCGTTCTTCATTTTAAACTCCATCAGCAGGATTACTTTTTTTTATTTTTTGCAGTTAAAAATCACTTTTTTAAATGGAAGTTTAAAGGATTAACATTGCACACGCTCTGTTTACACAATATTTCCAGTTCTGAGTCAGTCTAATGTTTTGTCTGTGCCGAGATCAATGTGCGCGGCAGCATCACGGATGTTCCTGTGAGAGTTCAGGCTAATGATGGCTCTAGGCTCTGCAGGCTGATGGAAATAAGATATTCAGAAGGGATTACCCAGAGATAGCTCTAACATTAACCTACTTGACTGATGTTTACTAAATGTAAGCCAATTTTTTTAGATAACAAGGCAACTTTAATTTGTTCCTTAACCTAATATTTGTGTAAAAATAAAAAATCCTTGGTAGTGATTTATTCTAAAAACTGACATTTTATAGAATTGGTGTTAAGCAAAACTGTGATTTAACTATGAACCCTTTAGATTTTTCATCTGCTTTGGCGTTTTTTCTTTTCATACCAACATGGTGAGATCACCAAATTTCAGACAAGTATAAGCTATGCAGACGACCTAGCCAAAAGTCAAAAACTAATCACACCCTTGAGTTATTATTAATTAGATGTGGTTAAACATGTTTTTATGATACCAAATACAATTTTATTAGCCAGTCAAAGGAACAATTGCTTTTAGAACTGGTAAAAGAGAAATCAGGGTTAAGTGTTTTTTTGATAGTTTCTCTAAACAAATCTAGAACCTCTATGAAAACATGGAGTAGGCTGAAAGATTAAAAAAAAGAAAAGGAAAGGAGAGAGGAAATCATTTTTCAGTTCATCAGTTCTTTTCTGAGCCTTTTTTTTTCATACCAACATGGTTAGATCACCAAATTTTAGACAAGTATAAGCTATGCAGACGACCTAGCCAAAATCAAAAACTAATTACACCCTTCAGTTATTATTAATTAGATGTGGTTAAACATCTTTTTAGGATGGCAAATACAATTTTATTAGCCAGTCTCAGGAACAATTGCTCTTAAAACTGGTAAAAGAGAAAAGGGTTAAGTGTTTTTTTGATAGTTTCTCTAAATAAATATAGAAGCTCTATGAAAACATGGAGTAGGCTGCAAGATTAAAAAAAGAAAAGGAAAGGAAAGAGGAAATCATTTTTCAGTTCATCAGTTCTTTTCTGAGGCTTCTGGGAAAACACTAAGAGAAACTTTTTAGAATTTTTGCCCATATAATATCACATATCTGGTGCAAAATTAAGACACCGTTTTAAAAACAAAAATTTTGGGCTATTTTAGGATGTTAACAACCTGCCACAGTTGATGAAACCAAGAAATTCTCTCTATATCGGATGAGCCTAAAGTAGAATGTCTGGTCATCTGTCAGTGACATTTAACTTAAACACTCTGGTTTTACAGCAAGACGGTGAGCTAAAACAGCTCAGCAAGTCAATCTGAGAGACAAAAGAATAAAACAAAAAAGTTTTTTTTTTTTTTTTTTTCCGTAGGCTTAGTCTGATTTGAATGGAATGTGGTGGTGTGATCTTAAACAGACTTCTCGTGCTTAAAAACTCTCCCGCGGATGCTTAATTCAAACAATTCTACACAACAGTGGATCAAAGCTCCCCATCAAGATGCAAAACACCATTGGCCACTTATTTTAAATTCCTGATGTCTGCAAAGGGAGGTAAGTTATTAGAAGAAAGGGCAATTAGTTTCCACAGATGGCAAAACTGATTCAGATAGCTTTTTTTAAATAAAAAAACTATAAATGGACAATATCTTTCACCCTCTTTACAGTACAGTAAACAGCCTCAGGAGCAGCCACAGTCAAATACTGCTGCAACCTGTGTTAAGGAGTGCTATGACTCCAGTTTTCTGCCTTAGACTTTCAGACTTTCTAATCTCTATGTAGCTTCGAGATCTGTGCATCCTAAATTACCACAGTTTCTATATCTATATTTATTCGGTTTCTGTGCATTCTTAAAGGAATTTTAGTGATTTTAGTCGTTTTCTATTATAATTGTTGAGTGTTATGATGGGATAAATAATTGCCTCTTTTGGGGTTCAATAAAATTTCAGTCAATCAATTATTTGGAATCTACAGTTTGCATTTACTCCAGTTCCCTTTTTTCTGCTATTACAATTCGTTTGGTGAATGAAAAATATAACAAAACAACCTGAAACTTACAGTAACAGATCTGGAAGGGTGCAAATACATATTCACAGGACGGTAATTGTTTTTGAATACTTGTGCTGTTTCCAACACATAATGTATCCTTCTCAGTCCCGCAGCTGTCTGAAATCTAACTGCACTGCATGGTGTGTTAGAAAGCCAAGCATGAAAGGTGATAAGAACTGTGCGTGCTGTGGTGAGCGTTGGCTGAATTCTCACCCTCCGTCAGGGTCTGGAAGTACAGCTTGCCACTGTAGCGTCCGAAGCCAGCAACAGTGCGAGCCCGGACCTGGAAAACATAGATGCTCCCTGACTTGAGGCCACGGATCACTGCTGTGTTGGTCCGGCTTCTGATGGTGGTAGAGTTGTATTCGGATTGATCCTGGGGGGCAGAAAAAAAGATTTGTTATTCTGAAAGACATTGCATAGGGTACTCATTTTGCTAATGGTAACCCTGTACCAAACACTAATTTAAAGAGACTACATATCTGGAGCTAATAAGTTAAGTTATATGACAGATTCAAGACGTCCCAGTACCTATTTAAGGAAATTTAAGGTATTTAAAATAAAGAAGTACAACAATATTATCACAATGAAGACAAATATTCAGATGCTGCTATTAGGAAAGGAGACTAGATGGCAGTTTGAGGCCAGGTGAATTCTTTGAGCTTCGCCTTGTGATGATATGAGCTGCATTTCATTGCCATGCTTTTCCTTTCCAGAATGCTGACAGGATGAGAGCTGAGACCGAGACATTTTTATCCGCTTCCTTCAATAAGCTTCTCAGAAATCACTTCTGAGTCACAACAGGAGCTGGAACAATTGTTTTGACATTTCTCTCCACCAGTGTCAGTTAAAGAAATACAAGTCAAAAGTAAAACAACAGGCAAAAGCTTGAGGAACTACACATGTAACTGCTTCTGCATGAATGCATACGTGTGTTTTCTTATTAATGGACGTGGTGGAGTAAAGCACATTTGTGACTGTGAGGGTTCTTTTGAAAAACGATGCTGATTCGGAGGAGCTTGCCCCTTAAAAAACTATTTTTACATCAGTCAGCGAACCATGTTTTCAACCACAAGTCTCAGCACATCAATCCCCCCTGGCCCTGCTGCAGGGCTGAGCGCGGTTTTCTTTCCCAGTGACTGACCGTGATTGTAAGTAGAGGAGAACAAGCAGAGGTTCAAAGAAAAATTCAGAAGCTACATGCCTTTGAGGAACTGCTGCAGAGCAAACAAGCAGGAGGAGTTTCAGATATAAAATGGCCTAATGAAAAGGATTCAACACCTTAAATATGATCATTACGTATTTGGCCTTTTAGGAGGAGGGAAAATGAATGCAGTCTGTGTTTAGGGTCAAAGAGGATATACAGTAGGCAAAGCATCTGCCCATGTACTTGAATGGTTATGATCACCTTTTCGTAATACTGGAGTTCATAGTCCAAGATGACTCCGTTTGGCTGATCTGGCTGAGACCAGGAGAGGGTGATGCTGTCCATGGTACGGCTGACCTGGTGCATTATTGATACCGTAGATGGAGCTGTGAAAAGAAAAAAAAAGTGTGTTACTTGTAACGGATAAAATAAAACCAGCTTAAACTACATTGTCATCCTCCGAGAATTTACCTCATCTTTAATCTTGCAATCAAACAGACTTATGGAAAGCTCTAAGCCCATAAAATCTACAGCATATAATAATGCATAGACTCCTGCTAGAGCATCAAGGGTAGACATCAGGCTGACAAGTCACAACACTAACTGAAACCATAAAAAGAGCCACATGGAACTTCCCGACATGAAATTTTACTTTGAGCAGATGAAAACATGCCTGTCATGGTGATAACAGACTACTTTTTCCTACATCTTTATTTAAAAATCACCAGACCACCATGGGGAGGAAAATACCACTCTGTCTTAAATTTGGTGTAGATTTCTTTAGTAGAAACATAATAGTGCAAAGATTTCAAAGTTTTAAAGATTTTTCTTCATTCATTAATATA